ACAATATGCGTTTTGTACTGCTGTTACACAGCACAAAACGCATAAAAATGCATCTTCGCACGGGCAGCCCGTGCGTTGGCCAATCATTTCACTATGTGCTGGAGATTCTTCGCCTTTTGCTCTACTGGTAGTGCCCTAATTGACATCATTCTGTAAAAGCCACCTTCCATGCGCATGATTTTCAGTGGCTTTCGCTTCTGAAAATTGCCTGGAAGCGAGAATCTAATTTTATGACATGCGTCAGTACCAGTATATCATGAAAACGAAATTGTTGCTTCTCCTAAACTTGGGTTGACGGCTCGAGTCAGCTGCTTGGGCAGGTTTTACATGATATGATTGGGAGTTTGGCACTACAGTGCAGTCTGTGTTGTTGAGAACTAAATGTGTGTTTCAATTTAGAATATTGCCGGGTGACAATGGTTTTCCGGTATGTTTGGGCAGAAGTCGAAGTATAGCCAGATGCGAAAAAAATCGCCGAATCACATGTATTCTTTGTCAAGAGACTAGCGATCTTGCAGCGAATGCGCAAGCAGTGGTTTGTGTTGCATACATGCAAAAGTTAGTTTGCGTTTTATAGATCTTTATACGTTGATAAAGCTTTTTTATGATATCCTTTTTGTTGGATTTTTATGTTGCTTTTGTTAAAGTTACTCGAGAAATGGAGGTTTTAGTTTAATTAGGAATATTTTCAGCTGTTTTTTTTTTTGGGCTTTCTTTTCTCTATCACTTTTACGTGAACTGATTTTCATGAAGTCGTATGTACTCTTCCATGCTACTGTTTCTGTTAATTTAGCATTAATTTGACTGCCTGTGGAATCCTGTGAATATTTACCCTGACTCAGTTTCACTTCAAGCCAATCAATGCCATTTCGTCCAGGCCCCGAATTGCTGCCCCTAATGTACTCCTTCAACGGGCATATCGTCTTTCAAGATGAGTCGGAGTTGAACTATTTTTCGTACGTCAAAAGTTAAAACCCGTATTCACTTCGTGTGAGAAGCGAAGACACTCGAAATTGGCCTGAGTGATAACACATATTAACAGCAACCATGCGCTGGCAAAGCTCTCTCTCTCGAATAGATGCAAGCGGATGACGGTTTTGATTTTCTGGCTTACATTAGTAATGTTCTATCACCAGAATGAACCGAATCATCGCAGGAATTGTACCACAACAACCCTTAATTTTGTGTGTAGGAGGAACACTACTTACTCCCTGCTTCATTTTAGCCAGCTTTCTAAGGGCAGTATTTAATAAATGTAGGTCAATAAAGTTTGGAGAGGTATTAATAGCAGTATAAAGCAGTCAGAGCTAGTGATGAAAGAAATTTTGGTAGAATATGGAAGAGTGGGAATGGAAGAAGTGGAGAGAGAAATGATAATAAAAACTTAAGAATATATTGATGTAGTTCTGGGAAATCACTGTTGCATACTAACTGTCAGATCATTCAGTATTTGACGAGTAAATACTGGGCGTTATCGTCATGAAGAGATACTATTTTTGGGCAAAATGTTCAGCTTTTTCGTATGCGATGCTTTCTGTCATGCTGCCAGAGCATGCTTCCCTCTTTTCATTTTTCCCCTCTGATCAAATCTTCTGAAATCTTGTGTGAGCATAAGTCGGTCACCTTGGGAGCCTCATTTACAACTAATGCATGATTCGTTTTAGATCAGCACTATTCGCTGGTCGGAAAAAGGAGGAAGTCGGTGAAGGGAGCATCTCAGAAGTGTTCCTTCCAGCTTCTCTTCGCTCTGGTCCTGGCGCATCCACATGTGGCCATACCATGCATTTCGATTGCTACAGAAAGTAATTTTTTCAATACAGTGCAAGCTTCATTCGCTTAAAACTCTGAT